ACTCTGAGTCTGTGACCTCATTTCGCGCCATTTGGGGTTCATTCAGGCTCATTGCAGTCGCTAGTTATTCATATGAAAGCAGACTGAGTAAGCGAATATTTATTCAATTCAAATCGGATATTTTCAGCATTTCAAGATGTCTTCTCTTCATCAGAAGGCAGTGCAGAAGGAATTCGAGGATGAGGCCCTTGCTGAGCAACACTCATCTGGCAGATCTTGTGATCGACTTCGACAAGAGTTGAAACGTTGTATTAAGGTCAGATCTTCAGTTCAACTTTCGATTTCAGACTTTTTATTGTTCTATTTAGTGTCACCTTTCACTGTTTCGAATGTCTACAGGAATCGGAATGTGTGCAAAAGTTGCGACGTCCAGCCAAAGAGTGTATTTCCGCAACCGATGGATCCGTACCCGAACGATGTTTCCAACTTCTCTCGAACTTTTCCGACTGCAAACGATCTTTGGTCAGATTTCTAGTCGATTCCTTTTGATTCCAATAAAAAATTAAACCTCACTGCATTGCCTCGTATCGTGTAATACATCAGAATTCATTTTCCTGATCCTGGAAATGTTAAAAGTTGAAATTCTCAAGCTTTACGTCAATAGTCATCAAGATTTCAGAAATTCTACTATTAGTTTTCGTTCTGAAAGATTCTCAATTCTATTTTATTGTCGCAAAAAGAATGTTTTGATTATTCCAAGAATAAGTCGAACCTCATTCCAAGATGTTTGTTATCCATTTATGATTGTTTCTGAATAATTTCATTTTTAGGTCGATATGAGGTCGAGGTTCCGAGGTCGTAAAGGAGATTTATAGCAGAATTTGTGTATTGTATGAATTATGATATGTTAGTGCTGTGTTATATTGTAAAGGTGCATGCATGTTTCTAAGTTTTGGTTTTATTAATACTCGTTATACCTTTTAATTTACAATTGTGACGATTGGTTCTTTTTTAACAGTTTGTGGAACGTTTCCATTGGAATTTTGTCGAAATTTGAGTTGTAATTTTAGAATTATTCGATGTTGTATTCAGTGCTTTTCGACGCATAAACATTTACTTTCAATAAGAGACTCCGAATTTGGCAACAAACAATTCAGTGCTTATATCAAAAGACATTTTATCTGATATCTGGACAAATTTACAAGGTGAGAAGTTAAAAAAACGGCATTCGCTTGACGTGTTGTGTGTGGCATGAGTACGGTAATTTTGCTCACGACGAGCGATACTATAAGTTTAAACGCTTTCCCAAACGATTCCCCATGTGACCCATGGGTTTTTCATGAGATTTTCTGGTTCCTAGATGAGAGTCACAAGATTTTTGCTTTATATATCCACGAAAATAGCACACTTCAAGCAAAATTGTTTCGAATTTAGCGCTTTGAAATGGAATGTTCGTGTCTATTCGTTTCTTGAAGAAGTGAAATGCATGCATGGTGGATATTACATGCACGGACGGAGGGATGAGTGAATGTATCTCTAAATGGATAGGATAGCAGCAGTATTAACTAATAATGACAACAAACAATAACAACTACGTTTATAAATTGTTTAGCTTGCCCCTGACCATCCGTCAATATCAATCAAACCCTGTCAACTCGCCAATTTGTACGCACTATACAACGATGTCGTATTATAAGAGATATTCTTTCAATACCGTGCTTTTTATACACACATAATTCATAGTAGTGAGGAATTATGCAGCAGAGAAATGCCTTCGAGGAGAATTTCTGAATTTTCAATGAACATTCGCTTGATTATAGTGATATATTAATGTGATAATTGAACATATTCACAAGCATAAAATGGGATTGAGATTGTTGTTGTTGTGTGTTATGTTGGAAATAAGCACATTTTGTATCGATTGACTGCATGAGTTTATTCTGAAATATTTGTTTGTACATTCACAATGCATTCATTATTCATGTCAAATTTTAATCATAAAAATTTTATGAAATTTCACAGCAATATTATTATACAACACATAAAATCGTTTCGCGTATATCGTAGATTGCTTTACGAATGAAAAGATGAATGAATAGTAACGACGATCGATATCGTCATCTTCATTGATAAAATCAAAAACTTTTCACCAAATTTTTTTATTCTTCTTCTCCAATAATTTTTCGACAATTCAGTGATTGCAAGTCTATTGTGACGTCGACAAATGTTTGACTATTCATTGTAAATACTTTGATGCGTAGATGTTTCGGTTATCTAGGTTCTTGATTTTGTTATTGTAATCACATAGTGGAGCCATACATCTCAGTCCAGCTGTTCGCTAGAATCTCGTTGAGTTGTTATCCGAATCGACTTGATTATCCTTAGTAAATGAATCGAATCTCTGATCAACTCACAGTCAGTATTCCGATCGAATATGATTAGTATCGATTGATTGGTTGATTGATCAATTGACAGAATATTCGAATGTTAATGCAGACAGATATCAAAGAAATGGAAGACGACAATGCAGTGGATATCTTCAAGTGGATATTCGCATCGCAGCTCGACGACGATTTAGCCGATGACTTACAGTTGGAGACCAGTGCTGGAATCAGAAATGTTCATGTAATCGTTTCGTTCATTA